GTCAGGAACCAATAGAAATTCAATTCTTATGAAAGGTGTTCTCCAGGAATTATTTGGGGTAAAGAATCCGAATCTGAGGTCCATTTGCCTTGAAATCCTATTGGTCAGTCGGGAACCAATGGAAATCCAGTTTTCAGGAACGCTGTTCTCCAGAGGTTATTTCTGGCGGAGAATCCGAATCTGAGGTCCATTTTCCTCTACATTCTATTGGTCGGTTGAGGACCAATAGAAATCGAGCAGGAAAACTACCCCTTGGCCGTAATATGAAGCGGTTAGTTCAAATCTGCATCACATGTGTCTGGCAATTTGATTGCTGCCCAAAAATCATGAAGAATTTAAAATTTTCTCAAGTATTGTTTCTGCTGGAAATCTTGACTCTATCAAGAGTTGCTTTCGCATTGATCCTCAAAATATATGTCCGCGTGAATTCCAACTTCTTCACAATCGTAAAGGTCGCAAAATTCGTGTTGATTTCAAAATATAGGGCTGAGGTGGCGATAAAACTTGATAGAGCCCCAATTTTTCAAGTTTTGCGTTATTTATATTTCTCAAAAGCTTCTGATAAACTACGAAAGCATCAGGGCGTATGAGTCCAGAGTAGTTGGTGTTTGACAAAAATCAAAGAGAAAGAGGGAAAATCGGGCTCTTTTATGTTGTAGAACTGACTTTCCCATTCATTTTGGTACCAGGCCTCGCACTTTAGCGTTAAACGTTGACGAGAAATTTGGGACAAACGGAAACGACTAGAAAAAATAACGTATCTTGAGAAGATTCAAAATAAGTTTTGAAATTGAAACCAAGCCGCTGCCCTCTTCAAACGATTTAGAATAACTATCCCAGCTATTGATACTAGACTATTGATCATGATAGACCAAAACAATGCATCCAGAGAGATGTTAGATGCCGTATGTTTGTGAGAAGAGTAATGGCAAAATGTCTGATTTCTTCTATTGTCATCTGTTGACATGAAGATCGAGCTTTTCCACTCGCAGTCCCATTTCATTGAATGAGCCAGCTCTGTTCTAGATGCTGAAAACTACTTGCTGGTCAACGGCTCATAAATTCCGCGACAAAATAGGCTTTGTAGTTCGTCACTTCTGCTCTCAGGCTATTTTTTCTCATTGTTTCATGTCCATTGCTTTTCTTCCCAGTTATTTGAGATCAACACTAGACCCCTTCAGGGCCTTTCAAGAGTAGAGAGCCAAATAAAAACAAATTCGTAAATACCTTATATTCGATACAATGATGACAACATTCATTTTAAAAAAAGAATCCCCAGAGAAGCTGGTGAGATTCAAAACCAAAAGGTGCGAGATGTGTGTGTTTTTTTAGCAAAGGAGTTCAGAAGTGCCCAGATACTGTCGTTACATAACATCAGAAAGCTCATTGACTGCACTGTATTCGGTAATGGAGAATGTGCTCTATCTTACAAGCTGTAAACTACGAAATCGATACATAGATCAACATCGATTTTTGTCAAAGGGACCCTCAACCGATGACTTTCTTGAAAACTCGATTTCTCTTGGTCCTCAACTGACCAATAGAATGTCGAGGCAAATGGTCCTCAGATTCGGATTCTCCGCCCCAAATAACCTCTGCAGAACACCGTTCCTGAAAACTGGATTTCTCTTGGTTCCCGATCGACCAATGGGATTTCGAGGCAAATGGACCTCAGATTCGGATTCTCCACCCGAAATAACCTTGGAGCACATTTCTGAAAACTGGATTCATATTGATCTCATGATGACTCTGAGTGATTCCGATTGATTCCGACTGATTCAGGTGACTTCAAGTGATTCCAGGTGATTCTGTTGTCCGGAATCAGCTGTTTTCCCCTTGGATATTACTTTATTGCTAGCACTTTTGTATATTTCCTTGCTTAGACAAATATTTTGGCACATTTCTAGCATTGCTGGAAGTCATTGGCATTTCCTTGGAATCCTATGGAATCCCATAGAATCCCATGGAATCAATGGAATCCCATGAAATCCCATGGAATCAATGGAATCCCATGGAATCAATGGAATCCTGGAATCAGCTGTTTCCCCCTTGCAAAATCGTCTTTTTGATCAAAAGTTAATCTTTGTCGCAGAAATTTAATGAAATATAGCAATATTCAAATTTTGATGATTTGTCAATTGTCAATAATGTACAATAAAATATCTTTTCTTCATACTCATAGTTAGTAAAAATCTAAACAAATAAAGCAAAATAATAAATCTTGTACCACATAAAAGTCTGATAAATGCAACTACTTTAGTTTTACAAACCATGACTTCTATGCGAAGTATTGATTGTACTATACATATTCTGTAAGCATCGCTAATGCAATTAATATAGATGACTTTAAGAATTTTTGAGATAATCAGTCTGATGTATTTTTCAACATTGAAAAAATTTAACGATGAAACATGCATAAAGGATATGCGAAAATAATAAAAATATGTGATAAATATGATTATTGAGATGGTAGTAGAATATCTTGTGTGGCTCAAATGAAGGCTTGTTGCTACTTTGATTTCAACCATTTTATACTCATTGGATAGCTCTTTCTTCGCTATATCTAAATCCATAAAGAAACCTCTGGTCCCGTTAGAACTAGCAGAGAAATACAGCTTGTAATGAAAAGAAGAGCGAGAAAAAAATGCGAAAAAAGCAGTAGGGTTGATCAAGTTTTGAGCCTGGTGTACCTATATAATGGAGGTTCCAAAGAAGGCCATATATATAGTTTTGTAGAGCGAAATTTCCTCTATCAAATGATATATTACTCGAAAAGATTGTGACAATTCACTGTGGAAAAAATGGCCAAATACTGACATACCAAATTTTTTGAAAAAAAAAACTTTTTTTTTTCAAAACCTGTTGAGGGTGCTTTAAGTGTGTACTTCATAACTTTTTATTGATAAGTTAGAATGAGCTAAAATTTTGGATTTATAGGTTTCTCACTTTGCTCTTTCATTTCCAATCATAAAATATGGGGTCAAATTTTTTCGAGGGTATGGTCCTATTGATAAGTGTTCGATTTTCTCATGACCGTCTCTTAAGTAATTTACCATTATGCTCATCACAAATCTTTGTCTTAATACTGATCGCGTACTGCCTGATATTTTATCATGCACAGATGAAAACTTCTATGAATTCGTTGAAACTTTTCTTGGTTCTTTACATGCTCGTATACTTCAGTATCAATATATCAATAGTGTGCTATGTTTTCTTGTATCAGAAGAACCATGTGATATACTGACGGTGGATATCGATGATCGAGAATTAGAAAAATTTACTAAAGAAGTATCTGTTCCATTGAAAAACAATCAATTGATTATAAGAATGGGCATTTCTAACAGCTTCCAATGTTTAAGAGAAATATTATTCAAAAAAAAATGAAGAATATTTGAAGATGCGAAAATTAAAAAAAAGCCAACAAAAATCCATAAAAAATGTCACAACCAATTCGACACAATCACTGACATCATCGCCATTTTCTATGCCATTACGATTATCATTATCATTGACATTAGACGAACACAAAAAAATATCTATTAAGTTTCATTCGGCAATGCTGTCTTGATAACAAGGAAAATTTACATTTGAACAAACGTAATTTGCAAGAGGAGATTAATTTTGTTTTTAACTTCTCAAATGCCAATGATAATTTAGAAGGAAGTATTGATTGTAAATGTGAAGTTCGAATTTACTTAGGAAAAAGCGGTTCAAAATTTCAACTTTCTACCTTTTATATACACGTGAAAGATACAAAATATTCAAATATGAACCAATTAAAAAAGAAAAATGAAGAACAATCACAAATACGACTAATAATGGAATTAGATTTTATGTTAGCATTATCTGAATCATCGAATGCTGCAGCTTTAACAGATTTCTCAGCGGCTCTGCCTTCAACACCATGCGTTATTAGGAGTAACAAAAGAAGACATAATTATCAAAACTGTCAAAAATTAATAAAGACAATGAAAGAATAATTTGTGTGCTTTTATTATAAACTATTTTTTTTGGGTATAGACATTTATTTACATATATAAACACTTTTATGATGCAGAGATAAACGTTTATTGTGTTCCACTAGTGACGCTAGGTGTTCGTAGAAAGATTGTATCTTTTTATCGATTTTTCTTAAAAATAATAAATTGCTTGAACCTAAGAATATATGATTTTCACCTTATGGAAGAATTCCAATAGAGACTTCAACAATGTACTATTAGCTATGACGCCTGCACACATAGTGTCTATTTCGTTACTAAAATTTCAATATTAATAGAAACTTTAACTAAAAAAGCACAAAAACATAAAAAGTACTTTGAATTATATCAAAGTAGGTTAAAGTATATTAAAATACTTTAACCTTTTCAATCCCGACATTGTCTTGCGTTCTACACGAACATGAAAAAAAATGATTTAACCTCTTGCTAGCATTGAGCTATTATAGTCATATGTGTTCGAAATCTCGATTCATTATTCACAGCTTTACGAAGTCATTTTTCTTTGAACATATTATATGATGTTCGTCGTTCAAGAAGACGAACGAATACAAAATAGTTTTTTTTTGTTCTGCATGATATATCATAGATGAGGGACTGGATTGAAACGGTTAAAGTACGTTAAAGCATATTAAAGTACGTTAATCCTTTCAATCGTGACATTTTCTTGCGTTCTGCACAAAGACGAAAAAGATGATTTAATCTCTCTCTTGCGTTCAGCTATCATAGTCATATGTGTTCGAAATCTCGATTCATTCTTCACAGCCATACGAAGTGATTTTCCTTTAAATATGTCATATGATGTTCGTCTTTCAAGAAGACGAAAGAACTGAAAATGTTTTTTTTTCGTTCTGAATGTCGTCTCGTAGATAACACACAGCATTGAAATGGTTAAAGTATTTTAAAGTACTTGAAGTATGAGGTATCATGTTTGCCCCTTGGTTCTATCGTTATCGGCTACGATTATTATTTCATTAACTTATATTCTTATTTGAATTCTAGTATTTAGAAGGACCTTTCAAACTGTCCCAGCATCATGCCATTATCGAAATATGCGCCTGTACGAATATTAATACTAGCCATTGCTGTTCGATCAAGATAATTAACATCACCATGTACACTTAATGACTGATATTTCCTAACGACTTGTTTCCATTGATTTTCACTAAGTTCGGAAAGTGGTCCACTTGGACATTGAACAAGAAAGTCAGAAATCATATATTGACGAGCATGACCTTTTTGAAAAAAACAGCATTCATGACTAACTTCACCACTTTTAAAGGTTGATTTATCATGAATTAGAAACGAGAAAGACGAGGAAGAGCGTAATAGAAATTTTATCTAAAAAGCCTCGATTGCTATACTTCAATATAAGTATACGTTGCAGATGGTGGGTCGAAAAGTTCCATATAGGCGTCTCATCATCAGTAATTGTATAATAGAAGTCTTTATGTGTTAGAAACTAATTAATAAATTCATGACGACGTTTCATCACATCATCTCTTTCATGTTCTTCAAAATATGGGTATTGTGAATTAGCCTCGAAGTTAGCTTTTCATCTACAACAATCCAGACGACAACTTCTTTCGGATCTTATCAAATCATCGCCACTTTAGCTTTTAATTCCGGTTAGTTCGTAATATTTTGTATCAATAAACCGAGACAGGTCCATTGCTTTGAAATCTCGTGACTTTGGTGAACATGCTTGGACAACAAAGAATCTAGCATCTGCTTCAATTTCCAAAAATGTATCATAAAAGGAGTCAGTATGCTTATCACTACGTAAATCATTTGAAAACTCTTCATTATCTCCTTTCACAAATGCTGTTGTTCATTTAAGAAAAATTTGTACGGCCATAAAACCAATACTTTTCAGATATTGATTAACATCTTATTTAATGTTGAATAAACGTATTGGCATATAAAACATAGTACTTAGATACTTCATGCCACATTTCGACTTATACATTTCAGCAAGATCACCAGATTATCTTGAATTTGGCCGAATGTAAAAATGTCGAAAAAAGAATTTTGTAAAAATGTTGAAAAGCAAAATATCGAAAGAAAAAAATGTCCAAACAGAGGGAATCATTCAACACATAGTACCATTTTGAAAATCAATAAGCCAACAAACTTAATTCAAATCAAATGTTTATTGTTGAAAAAAAAAGAATACAAGACAAGCTAAGAGCTTTTTCGACAGAACAATTTGTTCATATTAAAATAATGTTCGTATTGCTTGATTATACCTTCTTTTTTGCTACAATTAAAGATAAACTGTTGAGAAGGTCGGATGGCGTAATCAAATAATTATTATGTCTATCATATAACGTGTTTATTGGACTTTGTAATGCAGTTGTTCGTTTGTTTTTCGGCTTTGATGCGCCAGAAGACCATTGAAGTTTAATACTTTGTGCACGATTTTCTTCAGCTTTCATACAGTTGATCAAGGTCCACACGTTTGGATGATTACAACAAATACGAGAATTCAATCTATTGTGATAACCTACAATTAAAAAGTTTCATTTTGATCATTTTACTTAATTAAACGAAAACCATCACCTTCACAAACATTATTTGTTCGACTGTCAAAGTCGAATACATTCCATAAATCAATATTTGACATTCAATTACTGTTGAAATACTCTAACAGTTTCATCATTGGCAAACTAGGTAAAAGATTTGTAACTTCTTGTATCTCATCAAAAGCATATAAAATTTTATCACGGGGCATCAGGGGTAACGACATAAGCTTTCTACATAAAGAACGTAATGTTTCATCAAGAGTATTTTAATGCTGAAATCCCAGAAACTGAATGTTCCAATATATTCACTGACAAAGATGGCAATAGAAGCAGATGGGTTGAGACGCTGGAAGCCATATAGACCAAAAAGAAAAGTATGTTTTTCGATTAACTACGATGATATTTACTTCATCTTTCAGAGTAGCTATCGAACCAAATTCGAAATCTGTCATAATAACTGAAGGTGAAAAAATGGTTTTTCTTTTCAAAGCAGCATTTTTTAATTTAGCAAAAATGTGTCTATATGTTGAAGCCTTTTCAATCATCAACAAACCAAAAACACACGGTATGCCTTAAAATAAATGAAAAAAATTTGAAACCAAAAATAAGCCTTGCTTACAAATATCAAAATGAACAGTATATATTATAAATATTTGTGAGAAGTGCGACGGTTCTTTTTATATGTACCATCCATGTAAATTATTGATGAAATAAATAATAAATCCAATTGAGAATCACTTGCAAAAAAGTAAAAAACGTTCACGTCTTACACGAGCTTCATCAATAAATAAAAATTGTTCTTTTCCAATTGTTAATTTAAACTCATCAGGTACATAAAAAAAAACATGATTGTGATACTGGTGGTATCATTTTACGCCGATTTTTGACCGTAGTTGGATCTAGAAAAAAGAACATACTATCTACTAATTAATGCTTGTAAAATAATTTACATATTTCGTGAACTGTTGAAAATATCGCTACCGCCACTGAATTCATTGTAATTATTGCATTTGTTCATCATAAATTTTCC